GATTAATCGTCAATATGGAGAAGGGGAGGTTGAAGGATACTTTAAAATAGTGTTTGTCGGGTCCCCTATCAAATGCTCTGAGGGGCCAGGTGACTAACAGATGAGTGAAGCTGGATGAATATAAGAAAATCTGATACTCTCATTGTGAAGAGGCAATACCTGGGGTCAGAGGGCTTATGGGAAGGATACAGAAATCCTTTTCCAAAGGGGGTAACTGTTCCTCCCCTCCAGCTGATTGTTGCCATTCACATAATTTAGTTAACAAATGTTGTGAGCCCACATTAATGCAGACCAAATAAAATATATCTTTGTAGCTTAATTTCTACATTAAAAAATATAGTTTAGGGGCACCTGGGTGGCTCAGTCAGTTAAGCATCCAACTTCGGCTCAGGTCATGATCTCACAGTTCATGGGTTTGAGCCCCGCGTCTGGCTCTGTGCTGACAGCTCAGAGTCTGGAGCCTGCTTCAGATTCTGTGTCTCCCTCTCTCTCTGCCCCTCCCCTGCTCACACTCTGTCTCCCTCTCTCAAAAATAAACAAACATTTAAAAAAAAAATTTTTTTAATGTAGTTTAGATCATGTAAATAATAACTTGCTTCTTGCTTTTCTGGGTTTAAATTACAACATGGGGGCACCTGGTTGACTCGGTAGAGCATGCGACTCTCGACCTCGGGGTCGTGAGTTCAAGCCCCACATTGGGCATGGAGCCTACTTTAAAAAAAATTACAACATGGAGATGTAGTTGGTAGACTTATAAAGACTTGTTGAGCCGTTAAACATGGAGAAACATCATTCTGGGCTGGTAGTTGAAACCTCTATAAGTTTTCAAAGTCTTCTCTTTGCCTTTTCTTCCTTGTGTATTACAGAGTTTAATACATGCTTGATATGCACGGTAAGACTTGGTAAATATTAGTTTTTCTTGTTATCAATGGGGAAAAAAATTAAGTCTCTCCCTAAAGATATTTTAAATAGGAAAGAAAATCTGTTTTAAACTTTGAAGTTTAATTATTATAGCCTGGAAGCAAAGGCATTAGAGGCATAAATGAGAGCCCTAAGGTCTTTCTTGACCTATGATTTTTGTAAATTATGCTAATATTTTTATAGATATCATAACTAATAAATTGAATCTATGCTGTTTTAGTTACTGTGCTAAGATTTTATGCAGTCCTATTTAATCATCAAAATACTTTTATGAGGGAGTACTATTAACTGTATTTTTCAGAAGAGGAAATTGAGGCTTATATAGCCTAAGTAACTTATCCAGGATCACATAGGCAAATTATGGCAGGTCTGGATTTGACTCTAGGCCTTTATGACTGGAGAATCTGAATTTTTAATCATTAAATTAAATTGATGATTGCTATTTAGGAAGTTAACTTGGTAGCCAGGCATTTTGCTAAAAATTATACAGTCTTATACTTTAGTTTTCTTTTTGTCAGAAATCGAGTCCCCAGTGAGTTTTATCTATGGATGGCCTGAAGAGGGCACCACAGCAACACTGTTTCCCCATTGCTTATAGTGCTTCATATACTAAATGATATAAAGTTTAGATCTTTCTGCCTGAACCTGGATATATTTTAAGGAGGAAAAAGGCACAGTTGAAAAATTAAGATCAATCAGCTGCAAGTTTTTGATAAGTTTGAGGTGACCGTTACTATTTATAATTTCAAATAAGATCTCTACAGTATATAAATTAGAAAATTGATATATATTTTGCCTTGACCAGGAGAAATAGATCTGAGATTGGGTGAATTGAGGTGGAAAATGTGTAAATTGAAGAAAAATCAGGAATAGTTGCAGAAAGAAAAAATCCAAGAGCTACCAGGTTATTACTAGTCTAAGTCATATTTTTGAGACCTTTGCTTCTCTGTGTTAACTGTGAATGTTGAATAAGGAAAGATATTTCAGTGTTATAAAATAATAGGTTTTTCAGAAAAGGTAATAATGATAATAGTTGAAACATGTATTCCTGTTGTATGTGTCAGGTATTCTGTTTCTTTATACAGTTGAACTTATTTAATCATTATAACAACCATGTGAAATAGTTCCTGTTATTATCCTTATTTTAAAGATGAGGAAACTAAGACACAGAGGGGTTAAGTAACTTCCTCAAAGTCATACAGGCAGTAAGTGGCTGAGCAAGGAATTGAGCCCATGCAGTCTGGCTCCAAACTCCAAGCTGTTAATCCCGGTGCTATTGTCTCCCTTCCTTAACAAGTTTTTAAAATTCTTATAATTAGCTCATGAAAATACATAATAAAATGGACTTTTCTTTATTCAGCAGAAGTTATGGCAGGTCTGTGGCTATGCCAGACTAGAATTTACAAGAGCTATAAATTTCCATCTTACAGTTGATCCTCACTTGCTGATCTCTGAAAATTACCTAACTACTTTGTTTTAGATTTTTTATATTTACTTATAAATGAGAACTTGAGTATTAGGTGAAAAATTTAAAAATCCAGATATAAAATCTAGAAAACCTTTTTTAAAAAAATTTTTATTTATTTATTTTGAGAGAGACAGAGAAAGAAAGAGTAAGTGGGGGAGGGGCAGAAAGCGAGAATCCCAAGCAAGAATCCTGGGGTTCAATCCCAGGAACTGTGAGATCATGACTTGGGCCGAAATCAAGAGTCAGATAGATTCTCAACTGACTGAGCCACCCAAGCACCCCTAGAAAACCTTTTTCATTATTAGTGGATTGGATTACCAGGGTCATTCTGTCAACACAGTTTTTATTAAAATAAAGGATAGGAATTTTCCCTAACTCTTGTTACTTAGAACCCACAGAGATCAATTAAAGTGACTTGAATGAAAAGTTATAAGAATAGTTTATTTTAAAAATGCTGTGTGGATGCCTGGGTGGCTCAGTCAGTTAAGTGTCTGACTTTGGATCTGGTCATGATCTCACAGTTCATGAGTTTGAGCCTTGCATTGGGCTCTCTGCTGTCAGCACAGAGCCTGCTTCAGATTCTCTGTCCCCTTCTCTGTCTGCCCCTCCCGCACTTGTTCTCTCTTTCCCTCTCTCCCAAAAAAACCAAAAATTTAAAAATAAATAAAAACACTGTAAATATTCTTCCTTCCAACTGGCATTTCTGTTAAAATATGTGCAGTTTTTTTTTTTTTTAAAGTGGGGGGGAGAGGGCCAGAGAGAAAGGGAGAGAGAATTTCAAGCAGACTCCATGCTCAGTGCAGAGCCCAACGTGGGGCTTGATCCCGGGATTCTGGGATCATGACCTGAGCCAAAATCAACAGTCAACTGCTCAACTGACTGAGCCACCCAGGTGCCACCAAATATGTGCAATATTATTTTCCTTATTTTTCTTTTTTTTTATTTGAGAGAGAGCTTGTGAGCAGGGGCGAGGGGCAGAGGGAGAGGGAGAACAAGAGAACCTCAAGTAGGCTCCATGTTCAGCACAGAGCCTGACATGGGGCTCTATCCCATGACCCTGGAACTACGACCTGAGCTGAAAGCAAGAGTGGATACTCAACCAGCTGAGCCACCCTGGTGCCCTGAAATATGTGCAATTTTATTTTTTTATTTTTATTTTAGAGAGACAGCGAGGGAGCACAAGCAGGAGAGAGGGAGAGGGGGGAAAGAGAGAAGAGAGGGAGGGGAGAGAGTGGAGGGGGAGAGAGAGAGAGGGAGAGAGAATCTTAAAAAAGCTCCATGCTGAGTGTGGAGTCCAGTGCAGGGCTCTATCCCATGACCTTGGCCAAAATCAAGAATCAGAAGCCCAAAATCAAGAGTCAGAAGCTCAACCGATTAAGCCACCCAGGTGCCTCTCAAGTGTATTTTAGTAGGCAGCAATAATCTCACCAAGAGAGATTTATTCCTTAGTAGTGATAAAAGCGGCAATACAGTCAAGACAAATGAGCACTTACTTTAGTACTATAAAGATTAAGTTGGGTCTGGAGCTATTCTGATTCTGCGGTGCAAATCTGATGCTGACCACTTACTGGTAATGCAGATTCTGCAAGTGAAAGGACATGGTTCAGAACAAGACTGCCCCCAACTTCAGATGCCAGCTGCAGGTGGGATCCCAGGTTCCCTGTACTTCTGACCAACTAGCTACAGATCTGTGTGTGTGTGTGTGTGTGTGTGCGCTCGTGCGCGTGCGTGTGTATGTGTGTGTGGTTGTAGGGGGTGGCTTCCCCACAAGCCCCCCCTCAGGTTTGATAATTCCCTAGAACAACTCACAGAACTCAGGAGAGCACTGTTACTTATGATCACGGTTTTATTTTAAAGATTACAAATAAGGATTAGCGAAGAGACCCACAGAGTGAGGTCTGGAAGGGTTCTAGATAGAGCTTTTGTGCTCTTTCTCTGTAGAATCAGGATGTGTCACCCTCCTAGCATTGATAAATTTCTTAAACAGGAAGCTCCACTGAGCTTTGGTATCCAGAGTTACTTGTTTGTTTCTTTACTACCAGCCAGGATTGATTGAATCTCCAGCTCCCTTCCTCTTTTCCCTCCCTTCACCTCACTTCCCTTCCCTAGAGGTCAGGCTGTCTTAAATCCCCCCACCCCACCCTCTAATCATATTGATCTTTCTGGTGATTGGCCCTCATCCTGAGTTATCTCATCTCAAAGCATAAACTCAAGTGTGATCTGAGGGCTTATGAATAACAAAGACACTATGTTTTCAAAGACACTATGTTAGGAAATTCCAAGGAATTTCCCTCTCAGGAACCTGGGACTAAGTAAGGCCAGTCAGATTCTGTATTATACAACTGGAGCATAGGCATTATTCTGCTTACAGTGATTTACTTGTGATTTATTTATTTACTTATTTCCATTTTAAAAAATGTTTATTCCTTTATTTTTGAGAGAGAGAGAGAAAGAGAGAGAGTAGAGAGAGTATGAGCACACATGTGCACAAGCCGGGGAGGGGCAGAGAGAGAGAGGGAGACGGGATCCAAAGCAGGCTCTGTGCTGTCAGCACACTCTATGTTAAAACTGCTATGTTTTAATCATAGCAAATATCTTTCTTTTCTTCCAGGAGTCTGGAGCACCTATTCTCACAGATGATGTTAGTTTACAAGTGTTTATGGATCACTTGAAGAAACTTGCTGTGTCAAGTGCTGCTTGAAGTGCTAAACATATTAAGGACACTTAAGATGAAATAATACTTCAATTTCCTTTTTCAGTTTATCTGTGGAAACGAATACAGGTATCTCTCTAGACTCTTTGTATTAGTATGGTTTGAGACATGTGGAAAAATGTTCACATTTGTAGAATAAGCTGGAATATAAGAGCAATAAGAACAAATTTATTTTGCTTGCCACAGTATTATGGCTGGTTTTAGAAATCTGAGGTCTTTATAACTTAATTATGTTAAAGCGTTGAAATAGAGTTGGCCTTGCACTACAGAGACATAACTCATTTGTATATTGCAGAAAAATACAAAGTGGCACTGAATGTCCTTGCTGACTTTTTGAAAACTTGTTTCTTGATTTTAACCAAGTAAGCAAAATCATTGACAATAATGATAAATGTGAACATTTTTGCCTATTCATTGAAATATATCTGTGATTTTCAAGCACTTATGTATACACCTTTTTCTGTACTTATTCTGTTAAGGCAGATTTATTTTTATGATGATTTGTTTAGGAATTATTTGACTTTATATATGGTAATTTTCATGAAGATAATTTAATGTTTTTGGTCATTTGGAAAAATAGTTTAGAGATGGAAAGTTTTTTGGGGTAACAATCCCACAACTGACAAATGTGAAATTCCCATAAAGTACCCAACCTATGTAATGAGACGTGATAAGTTTTTTAAAAAGGGAGATAGAAAATAAACCATTTTGTCAGAATGCGTTTTAGGAAGGCTTTGCAGTAAAATAACTGTCATCACTACTAAAGCAAATTTGGTTTTTACTGCATGGTTTTGTTGTTTCCCCTTGTTTTTCTGAGGTAAATTTTACATTATATCCTTCAGTATTTTAACACTATTTTGGGAGTTTACATATTATTTCTTATTTCTGCTTCCATATTGTGAAATGTATTAAGTTCTTACTCAAACAGTATTATATAATATTTTGTTGAATTATATCATGTGGTGATGCTCAGTTTTATTTTGATTTATTCATTAGTATAATTCACTTTTACCTTTTAAAGTTTACTTGTAGCAAATGTTTACATTGCTAAAGCCAGATATGTTTGACAATGAAATTTATATCAAGTACTGCAAATAAAAGGTGGTGCTATGATAAATGCTTGGAAGGATAGTTTGATGATTGTACTTGCATGAACACAATCGTATGATAAAACAGAAACTTAAAAAAAAATGTTTATATGTTGTATTCAATTAAATAAATTGCTCTGTTCCATTTTATTTGGATTGAACTGTGCTAGGCCTAAATACCAATAAAATATACTTTTTCTGTGTTTTCCTGCTTATTTCAAAGTCTAATAAAGCCTGAGAAGCCTGATGTAAAATTAGACCAATTATAAAATCTGCTATGAGTAGATTAAAAAGTATTCATTTTTTAAGAATAGCTTTATTGGGGTATAATTCACACACCCACACAATTCACCCATTTAAAGTGTACAGCTCAGAGGTTCTTAGAATATTCAGAGTTGTGTAATCATCGACCACAGTTATTTTAAATGTTTTTATGTATTTTTGAGGAAGAGAGGAAGAGCACAAACAGGGGAGGGGCAGAGAAAGAGGGAGACGGGGGTGTGAAGCAGACTCTGCAGTGACAGCAGAGAGCCTGATGTGGGAGTCAAACTCACAAGCTGTGAGATCATGACCTGAGCCTAAGACAGATGCTTAACCAACACTCAGGTATCCCAACCACCATCAGTTTTAGAGTATTTTCATCCTCCCCAAAGTAGTTGTTTTGGCTATAAGGAAATTGTGTTTTGGAGTTAAACACACTTTTGAAAGCCCCTGTGATGATGATACATGTTTATTTGTGTGGCTCCTTAACTTAAGCTCTGTAAGAATGCATTGTTACTCTCGAATGATAGAAGTCAGTACTTACCCTTTACTTCTAACTCAATTACACAAGCTTGAAGCACCTTTGTATTGAAGGGATAAGGAGGAGCAAATGTATCATGCCCTTTTAACTTGACATTTAAAAGAAATAACCTGGGATCTGTTTGTGTCTAATTTAGATATTACTAAATTATTAGCTATTTAATTTGATTGTTGAAGAACGAAATGTTTAACCCTTTTAATGAAATTTAGAGTGAATAAAGAGCATTTGTGAACTCAGCAGCAGCACTGAGAAGCTCCAGTAGGTCCAGAACTATTTTGTATTCACTGTTGAGCCTACTGCCCCCTAGTGGCCTTACCTCTAAAAACAACTTTAGGGGCACCTGGGTGGCTCAGTTGGTTAGGTGACTGACTTTGGCTCAGGTCATGATCTTGCAGTTTGTGAGTTCAAGCCCTGCGTCGGGCTCTGTGCTGACAGCTCAGAGCCTGGAGCCTGCTTCAGATTCTGTGTCTCTCCCTCTCTCTACCCCTCCCCTGATCACGCTCTGTGTCTGTCTCCCAGTAATAAATAAACATTAAAAAAATTAAAAAACAACTTTAGACCTCATCTGTGTAGTTTTATTTTGTTGTAACAGCATAAATTTATTCTTTTGTTGGCTGATTCCAAAAGTGAGCTGACATTTTCTCTATCCAGTTCCCCACTTGATTGATAAACTTGCGTCTTATATTCCCTACCTCCACAGACTGCATCTGAGAATGTGCTTGTCCAGGCCAGAAACCAATGAATCATTTTCCATTCTTACTCTCCACATCGTTAGTAACTATATTCACCAGTTCAGCCTCTCTAATAATCCCCCTAATCTATTTACTACTCTCTGTTTTACTGCTGTTCTACCTTCATCGTATCTTACATGGTTGGGGCAGCAGCCCCCTAACCAGTCTACTTTCCCCAGTCTCCTCCACCCCTCTCTTCAATTCACTGAAATACACATCTGATGATGTCATTCCCTTTGCCCTAATAATAAAATCCAAATACTTTGATCCAGTAACATTGCATACTACATATCAATTTGTTCCTAGATCTCCTTTAGAAAAATAGCACAAGGGCACAGATGTGCAGTATTGGAGAGAGGTCTCTAGTTCTACCTAAGCATTAGTCTTAGGTGTAGTGTTTGGGAATTATATAGTGACAAAAGCGAATGCATTTTTCATTAACTGTTACAAATTAAGTGCTGTGGCTTATTGCACTTGGTTTTATTTTAAATGAAAATAATTTTTCAGTTATTTTTCAAACACCAACAAATTAGGATTATTTGCTTTCTAATGCTCATCTTTCCATTTTATTTTCATTTTCCATGTTTCCGATATACATGCATGCATACTGTTTATACTCCCACATGCTTGATTTGTATTCATCTTGAGCATTTTATCAATTCAGATGGTTTCTCTTGCTTGCTTTTTAATAGTTTCTGTAGTGAAATTAAAACACTTCATCCTTCCTTTAATAGAAAAACAAAAGCTGATCTAGATTTAATGTATTATTATCTGATGAATATAATAATCAGTATACAATACTAGATATGGAATAATCAAGTTACATTACTAAAGAAATTCAGATTTTTTTTCTTTCCCATCTATGGATTATACTGACATAAAGTCCAATAATTTGGGTTGAGGATGTGATACTGGGAAGTTGGGGGGTTTTTCCATCCTAAGGAAACATTAAAAAAACAAACCCAAAAATATTAAAATGTCTCAAGCATTTGGAAGATGGATGGAGATGTCAATTTTAGGCTTAATCAACACAAAATTAGCTATGTATTTTTAAAAGTTAAGGATAACACAGATCAAACCAATGAAACTTTCAAACCAGATCATGTAGCTTCCAAACCAGTGGAAGAAAAAAAGCAATAAAAGCAATCTGATCATGGGGCACCTGCGTGGCTCAGTCAGTTGGTTAAGTGTCCAACTCCTGGTTTCGGCTCAGGTCATGATCTAACAGTTTGTGGGTTTGAGCTCCATGTCAGGCTCTGTGCGGACAGCTCAGGGCCTGGAGCCTGCTTCAGATTCTCTGTCTCCCTCTCTCTGCCCCTCCCCTGCTTGTGCTCTCTCTCTGTCAAGAATAAATAAACATTTAAAAAAATTAAAGCAATGTGGTAAAAAAAAAAAAGGCAAGAAAAATGAAGGTAGCAAAGGGAAAGCATGGTAAAAGACAAAGGAAAAAATATTGGATTAATACTTTTTAGTGTATTTTATTAAAATTGAAAAACATTTAATGGTTTTTCACTGTAATGAGCAAAATCATGTACTATTTGAAGAACACTTTTTATTTCAAGTTTTTTTTTTTTTCATTCGAAGCAACATATAAATAGCAAAACTTTCTAAGTAAATTTGATATTTTCACAAATTTCATAAATTCCTAAATTCTTAAAACTTTCTTCGGGATTGATGCTAGCGACTTTTGAAAAGCTTCTTGGTAGAACAATTTCCACTATAGTATATAAGCTAGAAAATTGAAGATAAATTTCTATTACATTTGGTAAAACCCTCTGAAGTTTTTCTTCTTTCACAAAAATGAGAGCAAGTGGCTGAGTGATGGTGCATATTGACATTTGATCCTTTGGTTTCGAAGAAATGTCCAGTTAGTTATAGATCAAGGCATTTGAATATTGCTTACTTCTTTTGACCATGTAGGACAAACATCTGTTACTTTCATGGTGTTCTTTGAAATTTGATTCTTCAGTATAAATGTTTATTTTCTTATATTTTGTTACAGCATATTTAATTGTCTTCTCTACAGTTTCTGTGTGCTGATCTAAAGCTTAGTGTTTGTTTTTTTAATTTTTATTTATTTTCGAGGGAGAGAGAGAGAGAGAGAACAAGCAGGAGAGGGGCAAAGAGAGAGAGAGGGGACAGAGGATTCAAAGCAGGCTCTGTGCTGACAACAGAGAGCCCGATGTGGGGCTCAAACTCGTGAACCATGAGATCATGACCTAAGTAGAAGTCAGGCACTTAATCCAACTGAGCCACCCAGGCACCCCTAAAACTTAGCATTTTACTGTAAATTGTTTAAGCCTGGTTTAGACTGCAACTATTTTGAGTTTTGATTAATGTCATCTAAAACTTTACACCAAGAAAAAT